GCAGGTGGGAACTATAGCTTTTATGTCTGCAACCCCAGCACACAACAGTATGCTGGCACCTAGATGCTTGACAGGTGCTTAACGACTCCATGCTGTCCAAAAAGAAGAGAAAAAAGTGCAACCAGGAAACCAATAAACATCTCCCACGAACACATTCACTCCATTTCATTAAATGAATTCCCTCGTCTGCACTTAAGCCACCATCCTAGTGCTTAAAATCATCCAATACTGCTCCTATGATGCCATTTTTCCTTGGTTCCTTACGCTTCTCATGAGCCTGCTTCCCAGGGCCTTATCGACTCAGAACACCATGGACATTTTTATCTACATAAACACACACTTGACACTCACCTCCCTCCACGGGTACACTACACACCACAAAGATTCTAATTCATAGTTTCATACCGCTTTACATTTTCCCCAAGGCTGTAATATCATAAATGGACCTGTATTCAGCTGATGTGTGTTTCTCAAAGGCTATGGGTAAATCTTATTATGTAAATTATTATATAATACATTAAACCTCCTCTTGACTGCATCCAGAGAACGAATTCTTTAAAGAAACCTTGAGACGAGTTATTTTGCAGAGCCAAGACTTCTCTTGTCTCACACATGCACACCCTGGAACTGTTTTCCCCCAGTTACATGCTTCCTTCTCCAGGTCTGCCTAAAGTGAGATGCGTCTGTGTGAGCCGCCAGGATTTAGCAGCCTGGACCTCACCAGTCTATCCTCACTTCATAGTCTGTGCTCACTCACACTCGACGATTGCCCGGGAGTGAGGCAGATTTTCAGCAAGCCAGTCTTTCCACCAAACACAACGGCCCATTTTAGACAGGCTCCACTTTTAGCGCTGGGGCCTTGTGTTTCCGAGCTCCATCCCCAGCTCCTGAAACCCTCTGCCACACCAGCTCTTTGCTGCCCAGCAGGTCCCTGGCCACTGACCGGAGGGGAGGCTGATGCGGTTGCCATCCTTGAGCTTCAGCCGGCTCTTCCTGAACTTGCCCTTGCGTTTCTTCACACGGGGCTTCTCCTGGCACAGCTGGTGGATGATGATGTTGAGCTCCCGTTCCAGGATGTCGATCTCCCGCTCGGCCAGCTCCTGTTCTCGACGCCGCAGCAGTTCCTCCTGGTTCTTCTGCTGGAGTGCAGCCCGGGTCAGCTCCTCCTCCCAGGTGCGAAGCTCCTGCAGGATGGGCAGAACCGTCAGAGAG